TCAATTGTTCAAAAGCTTGTGGGATCAGAGACTGCACAGATATCTGAAGCCATGATGCCCTCTCTGCGCATGACCAAAGAAGCTAAAGTCTGTTAGCAAGCTACCCTTGTATCTACATCAAAGCTAATGTTTGCAATATTCCAGTTAATGACGAGCTGGACAATCATGTTTGGACCAAAACAAGCAAGTGTGATATTGATAGCAATGAGTCACTGCCACCAGGAAGATGGTAAGCTGGCCAATGTAGTTAATACCATTTTGTTTGCTTTGTACGAGAGAGAGAGAGAGGGAGGAAGAAATGAAACCAACAACAATGGTACGTATAAATGCCCCTCTTGTTCAAAGCTTCGTATTTATCTACGTAGACACCTCTAATGTTTACTCTATGAGATACAATTACGGATTTCAACTTAGTAGAATCCGATATCTACCCCATGCACTGCATTAATTGTGTTAGGATACATGGATAACTTTTGTACATACATTAGCGGGCACCGCAGTGGTTACCCTTGTACTGTACCTTCGTACAATATCAGATAACTACTGTTGCGGACCCCACGTTTGTACTGTACCAGGTAACTTCTGTCTGTTGTTGATAACCTTGTATTGTACAATATACCTACGCCAGTGGAAACACTTGTACCGTACCATATACCTAACGAAGTGGTTACCCTAGTACTGTACAAAATACCAAACCTAATGCATACCCTTGTTATGTACCCCATTAATTTCGTGTGTTCCTTTTACGGTACCAGATACCTACTGTAGTGGATACCTTAGACTAACAACTAGTCTCTTAAATTAACCTATTTTACAGAGAAAACCGTTCATAATATATTATATAATAGTCTATAAATGAAATACAATGAAAAGGATGAGACTTTCTTCAATCACTGGATTGTCTGGTCCAGACTCGATTATTTACAGACCGCCGCCATATAGCTGGAATATTGCTGTGTGAGGTGTAAAACTAAACTCACTCACTGACAGACATATCATCGGCAGCCCCTCCTGCTCTTGTGGTCATAAGATCGAAAATGCTGTACATTATTTTTTAACATGCAATAAATACATGGAATTATGACAAAAATCATTCTTCTATTTAAAGGGATTTAGTATCAACACATTTAGTATTATAACGGGGGCGTGGTGCGCGAGCTGGCTAAGGCTCGTGATCCAGCAAGCTTGAGGTGTCGGGATCGAGCCCACCTGTGCAGACTCTTTCAGGGTTGTAACAACCCCTAGTGTACAGTACACGGTTACGGGCCGGGAGAGCCACATTTCCGAAACAGATAGTATAAATTGATGTGGCTTTCCCGGCAATAGTTACGGTTGCGTGAACATGGAATGTGGCTCTCCTGGGTATGCTGTCAAAACATGCTTAGTGAATATGTATTTAACAAAACAAGGCATGTTTCCTCATAACTTTAATCAGATCACAACAGGTTTTGTTTCTACAATTAGCACAATATAATATACTAATAGGTATATTGCATATAATAATAATATCACAAAATAATAATAAATCTTAATCTGTAAAACATAATAATAATGATAATGGTTTAGTTTGTTGCCATGTGTACAAACAGATAAAATGGCGTAAGATCACGGAACATTGTTTTGTACACCCCCTACTGCAGATGAAGGAGGTCGCCCACATGATCCGTATACTCCATGTCACTCAGGTGTGGGCTCAGAAGGTTGGTCTTCAGTGATGCGATACGAGCGTCAATGATTCTGTACTTCTTTCTTCGTGAAGGTGCTGTCCACTGGTCAGATAGTCTCAGGACAGCAACCTCTGTGAGAGACTGCTCACGCTGAAATAACTTTACTATCTCGTAAATGTTAGGGTGACACTTCTGGACAAGTCTCTTTACCTTATTGTGCCATCCTTTTAGGTTCTTGTTAGATGTATCTTAATCTAGGGACAGTATTTTACCGGTATTGCGATGCCGTTGAACGTGTTCATTTTAAATTCCTGAAATTAGCTACCGGTCTTAGATAAAACACCCCGAATTTTATGGTTTATGGAGAACTTGGAAGACAACCTATTCAGCTCCAAATCTCTAAACGATTAATTACTTATTGGTGCAAATTGAAATTTTCTCATCCAAACAACAAAATAGCAGCTTTCATTCTAGATTATATTATGGATGATGCTCCCTGGCTAAATCATGTGAAACATATATTTTGTAAATGCGGCTGTATTTGTAAACCCCTTTCATTACACTCAATCCTGGATCATAACAAAATCTGAATCAATCCTGAAAGACAGTTTTTACAATCATGGACCAGTGAAATGAATAATTCATCTAAAGGATAATATGATAAGATTTTTAAAAACTTACCTTCACTCGACATATACCATTTTGAGTAATAAACAATGAGTGAAGAAGCTAAACGCCACGCTTGTGAGTAGGAAAGATTATTAGTTTCTTGTGAAAACAATATTATACAACATGGTTTAGAATCATAAATAGGGATAGTCTTTTACCGGTATTGCTAAACACCACGCTTGTGAGTAAGAAAGATTATTCGTTTCTTGTGAAAACAATATTATACATGGGGACACTCTTTTACCGATTACGGTAATGCATTAATTAATTAATCTATTGGAAATGTGGCTTTACCGGCTACAGCCATGTAATTGAAATGTGGTCTTCCTGGCAATAGTGATTTTTCAAATGTGGCTTTCCCGGCCTGTCACCCAGTACACAACCCTGTGCACTTACAAGAACCCACGAATGCATTGGTATATGACCAGATGGTGGGCACATGAATACGTGCAAACACCTAGTTGCCGGTACAGCAACGTGCAGTAAACTTGAACAAAGTACTGTGACTCTTTGTCCCAGTCCATCCAGCTGGGAATGGGTACCTCGTAAAGATGAAAAGCCGCAATAACTCGGTGCACCTATAGTGGCGCGAGAGTTGTAAGCTCCCCGATAATACGATGTACCGTTGAGATTGCAGTGGATACATTTGTTTTGTACCAGATACCTACTGCAGTAGATCCCTTTGTTTTGTACCAGATACCTGTGCAAAAGAAAATTATTCCCATATTTGAATGCGAAAGCAATAAAACACAACACAAGTAAAGAAAACGTCATCATTCCTCTAGCCCCCGTCCCCATAAACCCCTGTTGTTACAAGCCACTAGACCCGTGAAGATCCGGGGTAGAATAGGTCTTCAGCAACCCATGCTTGCCACAAAAGGCGACTATGCTTGTCGTAAGAGGCGACTAACGGGATCGCGTGGTCAGGCTCGCTGACTTGGCTGACACATGTCATCGGTACTCAATTGCGCAGATCGATGCTCATGCTTTTGACCACTGGATTGTCTGGTCCAGACTCGATTATTTACAGACCGCCGCCATTTAACTGAAATATTGCTGAGTGCGACGTAAAACTCAACTCACTCACAACAAGACACTAATTTGTACCTCTAGCCCCTCGCCTGGCTGTTCTGTTAGCTGTACTCACTCCCCGTAACTGGATTAACTCCCGGTACTTAGGGAGATAATGGGCACATTGTGTGAAGCCCATTTCTGTTGTCCCCCCGTGATATTGCTGGAATATTGCTGAAAGCGGCCTAAAACTAAACCCATTCACTCACACTGAAAGGTTCATCATCGGGAGAAGATGGGATTCAAACAACAATTTAAAAATTTAATCTGTCATTGTAGATGGGTTTTTTATGTTTTTTAATCAATATTGTCAAAAAAATATAACTGAATCAATTTTTACTACAAAAGGACTTTTTTACCGAGAAGTTATACTGATACTTTTTTACTGACTTTTTCCTACAACCCTCCAGCCCTGCAACTTAAACGAATTAAACAAAAGTAAGAGTATGATTCTTTATTATCTATACCAAGTCACCTACTCACAACCATCACCTGACCTAACGAGTTAATTCATAGTACTTAGCAGTTAATCCAGTTACAGGAGAGTGAGTACAGCTAACAGAACAGCCAGGCGAGGGACTAGCGGTACAAATTAGTGGCTTGTAACAACAGGTGACATGGGGTGTGGAGTAAAGAACAAACAACACAAGTGAGACATATTTAGGTCATGTTTTTTTTTAATGCAACAAAAAATCAATGTCAAGAATGATTGTGATTATTATCCCTTGAGGAAATAAAAGTTAACAGGCCTTCGTAGACTGTGTAAACGAACATGTCCTTCGAAACACATACGGAACGAGAATATTAAAAAAACAATAAATATTGAGGGTAAGTAATTAAACTTGGCATTCGCGTAAAATGTGTACGGAATGCCTGAATACATTGCTGAGATGAGTTCGGTACGGAATGCCTGAATACATTGCTGAGATGAGTTCGGTGGATCCTACTATAGGACCACATGGCCGAATATCTTGACTGGGAGTAATATCTAAATTAATATAAGCATTTAAGCAGAGCTACAGATAACTTTTTGGGTCATTGAGTTATGCACTCGCTTGTGCTCATCCCAAATGGTTATCCTAATTTTCCTTTGAGTAACTAAATAAATTGTACTCATCTCACTCAAACTCAATTGGGTATTTTACTATTTCCATTAACTTTCGAAACACAATAAAGTTGAAATCTTAGTGTTTGTTATTTATATTTGATCTGTAATATGAGAAACGATAAGAGAGACTACAAGTTGCCAAGTTCATGTTCTGAAATAGAATGTCTCAATATACCCCAGTTATTTTATTTATCCACTGGTACGCAAGCAAAGATTTGACATTTTTGTGTGTATGCATGTAAGATTACATTTATTGAGTATTTACAAAAATTCAAGCGTACTTATTTACGCAAGAGTCTTAATAGGAATTGAGTTTTCACATAAATATTTGCTTAATTTACGCAGATACACTGCTTATCTGTAACTCTGATTTAAGACATTCGAATACCAAACATATTATAATGCGATATGCGAGACAGGGCCCAGTTTAGTGTAACGCCTGTTCTCTGCGGTACAAGGGCTTGTAACCGCCTTACAAGCAATCTACCAATCACAGCGCGTGTTGCAAACCGGGGTTGGAAATTATCCAGTCGTGTATATATACCACAATATATGCATAGACGATTCGACATGGCTGACACGACACGGGTAGATGTCTGTCATCACATTGTTCACGAAATGTTCACTTGGTGAACTGAATGCAGTAAGAATTTATATATATTTATAAAAGTGAGGATATCTCGTCGGACTTAAAATGTGAAATATGCAGTGAAATCTTTTGACAGCATCATAAATCCACAGACGTGTTGAATCACAAGGCTTGAATGTTGAAATGACCACACACCCTTCTTTTTGTTAATGTAAACAATAGGCTAATGATCTTCAATCTATTTTTATGTGACCGTTTGGTTTACGACACCAGTCATGACATCAAATCAGCTAATACATGTGTTGTGAAACATGTACCTATAAATACAATTTGTTTTGTTTGTTTATTTATAATTTTCAGGGCGAAAGTGTCGTTTTATTACACTATACATGGTGGTAGGGCGAACTGTATTTCTTTCTAAGATGCCAAATTTAATACTTTCTAAGGATAATTACGATTAATTTAAGGCAGAAAACAAACGACGGTGTCGGTGACCTAAATTAAGAATCCTCGCAGAACTGGCGCGCTGTTCTATTGATGCCCCTACGTTAAGACGAACGTTACCAGAAAAACAAATGATAACAGTTTAAAGCCGGTTTACGTTCGGATTGAATATCTTCTCTGAATTATTTCAAATACATCTGTTATTAACATAAACCACATGGGGGTAATATGAACGTTGCATTTCTACTACCAACGTAAGTTTAGATCAGTACATCCAGAGGAAGTTGAGTAGTCAAGCGACATTCCACGATTGCATTGTGGGAATGTAAACATTGCGAACGTTACCGTGTCGCTGAAAACTTGTGAGACGAACTGAGACATTTTAACCGTCGTAAAACATAAACGTAATGTTCCCACCAGTGATATTAGCAGGGTGGAGCAACAGCAAACCAAGAAACGGGATGCAACGGTGTAGTTTACTGTAGGATGCCGTACGAGGCGATGACAACTGACATGCATCGTGACGTCGCTTACATTGTGACGTAATGTAAAATGGTTCGATTACGAGGGGGCACACTAGAATGGCGCAGTGACGGGAAAACGTCATTCAATTGTTACGTCATCAAAAAACTATACCTTTATTGTCTGATAATGTATTTTTTTTTCGATTGTTCTAACCGCTAGGCATCTTAGAATTCATGATAATTTACATGACAACATGAACAGGTGAATTGTTAATTTTTGCATTTATCACAATTATCTTATTTTGTTTCAGTTATGTCACACCATAGCTGGAAATATAAGCAGTCGACAACCACTAGATTACAATGCCTATTCCAAATTATGGAGTTTGGAAGAGTGGTGGAATGTCACTGAAAGTATACATTCACTGCTAAAGCTGAGTATTAAGAATTCGTGGACTAAAGACGAGGTAATTTCATCATACATTCCTGAGTGATATCTTAACCAGTTAAACAAAACTTTGTTTCTAAATGTAATGTCTCTTGGCCTGCCCCCTTCCAATTCAAATTATAAAGTCTCCATGGTAGGCACATTCCCAATGGGTCACCATTGCTGTTTTTGAATAATAATGTGTGATTAAAAAGTAATTGCTTTGTTTTTATCAGATTTTTGAAAAGCTTGGCACCCTGTCTGACGACTACAAACAAACATTTATGGAGGTGGTTAGTGTGCGTAGGGAGGACCTCCGAAAAAGTCTGCTTACCTCAACAGCTGCTATCTCACAGAATGTAATGGCAGACTTTGACTGGCAAATGAAGGTAGAGTATAACAGTAAAACTGTTATTCCAGATACCCCATGGAGATTTCAGGTCAGAGTTGGCCCAGTCTAAGTAAACTTAGGCACAGTATTTTTCGTTCCACTGCTATACTGAGTCTAACAAACCCTAGTAGAAGGTTGATTTTCTTCAGCGCAGTATTAGCGACATATATTACCAGGGTATGTGTAAATATATGTCTTGGTGTGACAGGTTAACTATGGCAATATTAAATAATTGGCAGAATAGAACAGAGACTTGGGAAACTGCACTGTTTATGAGATAATGCCTGAAGCACTGCAGCGTTATATTCCATAATGCAGATAGCTATGAAAATTCTTGCATAATCATGGTTGTTATGAATGCTTGGTATCTTGATCCAGCTTATCATGTTTATTGATCTGGGCAACAATCCCTTAGCTTGGACCCGATTAGATTAACTAACAATAAAATGGCTTTAAGGCAGACCCAGCATGTGTTTATTGAAAGTTTTGGTTAGTAAATCTTAAAAGAGAACCGTCAAAACATATGTAATGTTTCCAGTAGGTATTTGTATGAAAATGCTGTTATAATTTCACAAGAACATAAAAATTTAGTGAGACAATGTTAATCATTAACTGAATTCCCTGTTTGAAGCTAAACAAAGAATCTTGTAAGAAAAAATAATTTTTAACTGAATTCCCCATTTGAAACTAAACAAAGTTTCTCACCAGACAAAGCAGTTGAACTTTGACCTACTTACATGACTACGATCTGACCAGTACATTGACCAATGAAGGTGGTAGACCTGGTGGTGCAGGGTTGAGAGAACTTTGAACTCAGAAGGGGCTGAACAATAAATGTATCACATTTATTCATAAATTTGTCAAGAAAATTCTCCTGGGTTCCATTCCATAGAGAGATCTTGTCACCAAGATGATGGTTATTCTGACTGGAACATAACCTTACAACAGTTATGACATAGTGCTCAGTTTGTGGAGTGGGCCTTGTACCAAATGGACTTCAGTGTGTCTGACAGTAAGGTTGAGATAGGTTCCCAATACACATGTTAATAGGGCCAGTTCTAATGGTGATTGGGGCTGTGGGGTAGCCTAGTGGTTAAAGCGTTCGCTCGTCACGCCAAAGGCCCGGGTTCAATTCCCCACATGGGTACATTTCTGGTGTCCCCTGACGTGATATTGCTGGAATATTGCTAAAAACGGCGTAAAACCATATTCAGTTAGTCGGTCTAATGGTGACTGATTGTCACAATGGCTGAATAGTCACTGTAACAGTTGACGAATGAAGTGCCAGCTCATTATGGAAGATGGCTTATCCCGAATGGTTTAACTCAGTAAATATTCTTTTGACCAGTTATGTCTTTGTTGCTATGGTCTAAACTGTCACTCACACATGCATATTGTAACTACAATGTTGGGACGCCTGGTTAGAACTGGTATCCGGCACCCTATGCTTGTCTTTACGCGATGGGACGGTGGGGTAGTCCAGAGGTTAAAGCATTCACTCGCCACGCCGAAGATCCAGGTTCGATTCTCCACATGGGTACAATGTGTGAAGCCCATTTCTGGTGTTCCCCGTAGTGATATTGCTGGAATATTGCTAAAAACTAAACTCACTCACTCATTCACTTAAGGTGACTATGTGGATTGGATGGTCAGATTCGGTCCCTTAGTTGATGGCATGTCATAACTCGATGACTTTGTGGATCACTGGTCTTGATATGAATCAATCAAATCTTTACATGCTGCCATCACAAAGCTTGAATATTTCTGAGTGTGACTGAGTGAGTGAGTGAGTGAGTATGGTTTTGCATCGCTTTAAGAAATGTTCCAGCAATATCATGGCGGTTGACTCCAGAAATGGGCTTCACATATTGTACCCATGTTGGGAATCGAACCCAGGTCTTTGGTATGATGAGCGAATGCTTTAGCCAAGTGACTTTAAACAACACACAGACACAAAGAAACGCACAGAGAAAACACACACTATAACTGACAGAGGGGCGGTGGGGTAGCCTAGTGGTTAAAGCGTTGGCTCGTCACACAGAAGACCCGGGTTCGAATCCCCACATGGGTACAATGTGAAGCCCATTTCTGGTATCCCCTGCCGTGATGTTGCTGGAATATTGCTAAAAGCGGCGTAAAACCAAACTCAGTCAGTCAGTCAGTATAACTGACCGACAGGCTAGTCCATTAATGATATGATAGTATAAACAATTTTCGTGTGTGGTCACAAAGAAATCACGGAGAAACAGAAATATTAAATAATACATTGAAAATTTCAGAAAAGTTTCAACTGTCTCAGACAGATCAACTACCATGTCATGTCTACAAACGCTAGGTTTCAACTACGTCATGGGAAACATTTACAGATTTATGACCCCTCTTGGCCATACTACAACTCAGAAACCTGCACTCTTTGTCAGTGTCATTAAGTACATCTTGCTTTCTGTGACAAAGTGAGTGACCTAGTGGGCTGGAGATTAGGTGCCTCACTATGAGATTTCGAATCCAGGATCTGTACTTCACCAAGAAAGTGTATTCCCAAATATAATAGATATTACAGATACAGAGTGAGTGAGTGAGTTTAGTTTTACGCCGCACTCAGCAATATTCCAGCTATATGGCGGCGGTCTGTAAATAATCGAGTCTGGACCAGACAGTCCAGTGATCAACATCATGAGCATCGGGGAACTGATGACATGTGTCAACCAAGTCAGCAAGCCTGACTACCCGATCCCATTAGTCGCCTCTTACAACAAGCATAGGTTACTGAAGGCACATTCTAACCCGGACCTTCATGGGTCTACAGATACAGAAGTTGCATCATTGACATTACAAATACACTAATACAGCCATGTCACATTGGCATCCCTGTTATGGTCAGCTGTTTGAATGTTTGTCTGCATGAGACATGTAACACTGAATTTAACTGAAACATTTTGGGGCAGATTTCATGTTTGGGCTCATTTGTGGAGTATGACAATGTTCTGCAAATAATTTGCATGTACAGTCAAATCCCGATGAGTCGAATGCCGGTGTCTCGAATATTATGCATAACTCGAAGTACCTGTCGGTCCCGACCATTCCCTGTTATAGTTGTTATCATTTGATTTCCGGTTACACGAATTCGTCTCATAAATACACACGATGACTTGAAAAGGAAATTTGGTCCCATGAGATTCAGCAATCTTGTATACATAAGCCGAAGTCAGTCAATGATAAGTTAATTGGTGTAGCTAACTGATCCAATTAACAAACCAGCACGGCTCACACCTTTCCCTATGTCAAATCTCTGCCGACTTCATACGGTCACAAGTCTACCTGGATGACGTCTGGTTTATTTGTGGATTGGGTAAAATTGTTCAATATTCGATCATCTTTTTTTTCTACCCTCATATACATACCTATGTCTCGAATACATCAATAAGTCGAATTTATTACTTGGTCCCCAGCGATTCAACTCATCGGGATTTGACTGTAGTATTTAGACGGGAACTGAAGACTCTCTTATGTCAAATGTATTACAGGTGTGGGCAATCATTTAGATTCAAAACTAGATTTTCAACGACTTTCAGTAACTCATGAATAACAATTGTGCTGTTTGATAGATATTGTTAATCTTATTCATCATGTATGGCTGAAACAATGCTGATGTGATGTTAAAGTTACGCACACTCTCTTATTCATAACATTGGTTCTAACTTTTGCATTGACAGCTGGTGATGTCAAGTGATAAGCTGTCCTCTCCTCCACTCCCCGCTCCTCAACCTTGACCTACAGGTGGCTGACTGCAATAATCAAAACAGAGTTGTCTCCCTTGAACTAGACAGAGCTGACCTCAAGAAACTGATCGCATCATTAGAGGGAGCTGGGAAGGTAAATTGTATTGTATAATGCCAAATATGTGATGTTTCAATCATATTTGTATAAATATAATAATAAGTTGTTGTTTTTTCACCTAGCAATAAATATAATCTTTTTATGAAAGGGCTGTTCCTTAATAACTGCATGTAAAAGTGATAATATTGTTTACAATGTGTAGACTCTAAAGTATATGGGTATATCACTTAATATTTTGGTAAAAGCACAATTGTTAGTTTTTGATTTATGTGATCTTGGAGTTTTGTGTATGATTTTTCCGGTTGATGAAATACTCGAACTTTCAAGGTTCAGTGGTGGCTCAGTCATCTCAGGCATAACACTTCACTGTGCAGAGTTGCATCCAAAGGGCACAACAACAACCTACAATTGTGGGCTCGAAGCCTTGTTCTGCTTATGTTTCTTGGTTTGTCAGAACCGTAAACCAGTGGGTGTCACTCATGTGGTTAACATCTGAGACAAGCATCAGGATTTCCCCACATTAAGTGTTGATACACTGTGATGTAATAAACATTTTCCAAACGGGTTTGTTTAACGCCACACTCAGCAATATCCCAGCTATATGACGGCAGTCTGTAAATAATCAAATCTGAACCAGACAATCCAGTGATCAACATCATGAGCATCGACCTACGCAATTAGGATACGATGACATGTGTCAAAGATGTGTCAAGCTAAATACACTCGCTCACATTTGCCCTTTGGATTTGTCACTAGCCACAGACCTGCAAACCAGTGGTAATTACTGCACTAAAGAAACTTCTGTCTGTTATTTCAGGCTGTGCAGCAATTATCCTCCTGAGGTCAGACGAGAGGTCCAGCCATCATTCCAGAAGTCTTCCTCAAATGCATGGTCGTCAACTCACACTAATGTTGAGACTCTCACTCAGTCTACATGCCATTCCACATTGTATTACTTGAGTAGATCCTTCATGAAGAGTTCAGCCTGTCATGTCTGGGATGTGGAAATGTGCAATATTCACCTGACTGTGTGTTTTGTTTGATTGGTATTTTAGAATTTGATGAATAACAAGAAAGGTAGGTACTTTTATGGAGGACAACTTCTTTAATAAATTACCATGCAATGTTTTGGTATAGATTGTCAAGCAAGAGTGACCGTATAGACAAACCTTAATGGATAACAACTTGATTTCACGAGTGGGACGCGTTCGATTCTTGTACCGTTGTCAATCAGGAACGATGTACAACGGTACAAGAATCTGTATTGAAATGTCACACCACAAATAGAGAAGTTGTTATCTATAAAGGCTTGTTTACATTGTACTTCCAAAATGACACACAAAGAACTTAAGACTGTGTGTTACCAGCTGGTTAATCTGAGAATGTTTCACATCCATCAACATTGCATAATTTGATCAGTGATCCCATCCTTAAAAGCTGAATCACACATCTATCAGAATGAGGTTTTGTTATGTACATAGAGAGGAAGCATGCTATTTGATGAATGGTAAATAACTATTTACTTACAAACAGTTGTCAACATGGTCAAGTCAGTATTAACTAAACCAACGCACCTCGTACATTGTCAGACACAGCCACCAGTCTGAGACAAGTGGAAATCCATAGGCCTGGTAGGTTTCATCCTAGATGTATATACTTTGCATAGACCACTTGTCTGAAATTGTGGATTTGAATAAACTATTGGTGTCTACTATGGTATAAATGTTACTGTTCGGTCACTAGTTATTGCCTTGATGATGTAATAAACTGCTATAATGTGACAAGTGTTAGGTTTTTGTGCATCAAGATGATGATAATGTTCTGCAAACTGAAGGGACTGGTCATTTATACCTGTGGAGGGTTGGTCAGCGTTTTTTGTGTGCGTGTGCCCTAATGTACTAAATTAGTGACCTTCCCTCATGCTTGTCTGTCATATTTGTGGAGGGACAGTGGTGTAGCCTAGTGGTTAAAGTGTTGGCTCGTCATGCCGCAGACCCGAGTTCGATTCCAAACATTGATATAAACTGCAGAAGCCCATTTTATGGTGTCCCTCGCCATGATATTTCTGGAATATTGCTAAAAGTGACGTAAAACCATACTCACTCTCATATTTGTGGATGATCCTCCTCCATGTCTTTCTACAATGTTTCTTGTCGTGACCCTCCATGGAAAGACAAAATGAAAGCACTTTTTATTACCAAATGACAATTTTTCTTCATGGCCCACCACAAACATGTGCATTATTCTTTTTATAACAAACCCTGGACTGTCACATTTTAGGTACCCTCACCTTTTACATTAAATGACTGGTTCCTGAATGCATGACAGGTAATATTGTAATAAATTCACAGGAACTGACAGGTAATGCAGAAAATATAGTCCAGAATGACACAATGTGGATTTGGTGAGTAAATACTCAAAAGTTTACCTACTAACAATTTTAATCTCATGAAGAGACTTGAATCTTGAAATAAGGTGATCACTGGTGTGTCCTGTCCTTTCCACATTTGGGAACATAGGAGAGCTTTTGGTCAAAACTGTAACGAGCATTCCATTTGGTTTCTCCCTACATTGAGAAGCTGCACTGTCATAACTTTTACTGTTCAGTTTTTGCACTGTTGCTATCACTCACCAAGTCCAGAGCTGTGATTTTGTCCCTGTGAATTTGTTGAATTCCATGTGGGACTCTTTTTCTCTAGTGAGTGAGTTGGGTTTTACGCCGCTCTTAGCAATATTCCAGCAATATCACAGTAGGGACACCCAGAAATGGGCTTCACATATTGTACCCATGTGGGGGAATCAAATCCGGGTATTCGGTGTGACGAGCAAACGTTTAACCTCTAGGCTACCCCACTGCCTTTTTTTGTTTTCTAAAGTTGATGTACAAGTGTAGAGTGAATGTGCTATCCATGGATTATGTACTTTTATACACATATTACAAGGACTGCTACCCATGAAGATCCGGGTTAGAATTGATCTTCAGTAACCCATGGTTGTCGTAAGAGGCGACTAACGGGATCAGGTGGTCAGGCTCGTTGGCACATGTCATCGTATCCCAATTGCGTAGATCGATGCGCATGTTGTTGATCACTGGATTGTCTGTCCAGACTTGATTATTTACAGACCCCCGCCATATAGCTGGAATATTCCTGAGTGTGGCGTAAAACAAAACTCACTCATTTCTGTTACTAACATAATGCCAATATCCAAAAGAGCCTAATAACAAGCCCACCTAACATTGAAGGTGAGGTGAAATTGGGTTTAACGTCGTGCTTGAGAATATTTCGCTCATATGACGACGTGCATGCGTGTATGTGTATGTGCGGCTGCTTGTACTAGCCCAGACTTAAGCTGATATTATAGTGCTAGCCCACTGAGATACCACGCCGCAGTGAAGCATGAATACCCCACTCAGACACATTATACTGACTCCAAGCCGACCAGTCCTTGTTGTACCCATTAATGCCGAGTGCCAGGCAGGGACCAACAAGTACCATATTGTAAGGTCTTTTGGTATGACGCGGTCGGGAATCGAACCCGCGACCTTCCGCTCTCTGGGCGGACGCTCTAACCACTACACCACGGAGGTGGTCCTTAACATTGAAGGTGCAAGCTGATTACTGTATACGCATTGTCAACAAGTCACTGATGTGTTCTCATGTCATGTGAAAATGAGCGAATTAAAAATGACAAATGTGTAATACATTAAGATTGTTAGTGAATCTATCATGAATTGGAGCTGTACCATGAAGCAGATCAAGACAGTGACAGTAAGGTCAATGATGCACCAGAGTTGCTGCCCCTTCACAACCAGTAGCCTGGTCACTGATGTTTATGTACCGGTAAGCCTTGAAATCTTGTGTTGTATGAAGACTGGGGAACAATTTCTCATTACACGATGTTCAGGGTTGTTTTTAAATTATTGGTGGTTGTATCAAACCCTAGATAACTTGAATTTTTACCCAGGTACCCACAAGTTTGACACAATGAGGCTCAACTGAATAGTTTCATATATCAACAATGTCACCAAAACACAAATAATGAACAAACACTAAGAGTAATTCTATTAAGAACAGGTTTCAATTAACTGAAAAACAAAATCCACATCTTCAGGTTTCAGTTTCTCTTCGCCCATTCTACTTCCATACAAGATTTTAGAGTTCTGTGACATATTTCAGTGATGTAATACAAATACAACATACCTCTTCAAATGGCCAGCAAGATGTTCCATGTTTCCACAATATGCACACATATTTGTCATTGACAAATTCTGTTGGGTCCTTCCTTGTGAGCCGCATGTGTTCTGCTTTTCCCCAGTCATAGATCAGATATGTCATAACAAGGGCTGAAATATAAAGACATTCTGGTATTATGGGAAGCAACACCACTTTCAGTAGAAACAACAACAGAACATAACATTTTTAGATATGATTATATAAAAATTTCTATCTCAACAAGAAAAAATTGTGTCCAGGGACACGGATGCCCCCGTGGTGTAGGAAGAGTTCCCTACACTGAGTGTGCTCTGGTGATTAATTTCTACTTAATAAATGTCATGGTTGATCATAACATAAATATATCCAAATTGTCCAAGGTAAATACTTATTTGTAAATGTATGTCACAATGAACTTTACCACAGTACAATTAAACCTATATCATGAAGGTTCATGGTACAAGGGTAAATAAACTAGCAATAGCAATATCACTGTGGAGGCAAGAGAAAGCAATAGATTGCTGTAGAAAGAAAAAGTGGTACGTTTTGGCATATTCTGGAACATATTCAATATGGCGGGTTAAAAGTTAACTGTTCCATGACATGATATTATTGCACACCTCGCACTGTTTATCTGTTTAAGTCCATAATTATTTCCATGGGGTTGAGATGGGCTTGTTTTGTTAAAAACTGAGCAACTGAGAGATTTTTAGTCATAAAACAAAGATTGATCAACATATCTTCAAAATTCTTGACAAGTGATTCCATATAATGTTCGCTTTCCTCAGAGTTGAGATGATGTAACTCCTGGGGCTTGCATCCAATGACTCTTACCAGGTGTAAAATGTTCCATCTCTTCAGCTACTTCTACAAATGCAGACATATGGTGAAATGATCGGAGAAGTAGTTAGGAAGTATGTCAACAGTGAGCTGTTCATTTGTGTGAAGATTTGTAGACATGGTCCAAACAAGATCAATATATGGTTGTGGCCTTGGTTACGCAATGTACAAATCAAGAGTTGTCATAACATCCTCCAGTTGTTTTCCCTAGGTGTCCCTCTGTCAGTATTGAAGTCACCAAGCACTAGACATTGATTCAAGCTGCTTTCTTGGCAGTATTTTCTCAACATTATTCAGAAAGTCACTGACATTTGAAGATGGAGATCTGTAGAGGAAGAGAATGTTTTTCAACTTTGGATTGTTGTGGACAGATACAACAAAGAGCTTCACAGAGACGTGTTTCTGATCTATTATGGAGTGAAGCGCCAAGTGATGATTTGTAATAGAGAGACAATCCATGTATGTTTGTGGAATGTCTTGCTGGTGCATGATATGTTTGGTATGCAGAACGATGATAATTCTGCAGCTGATTTGCATAGAAATGGGTCTCAGAGAAGGCAAATGATATCTCCAGCTGAAATCACTGGATCATTCTGTATGTCCAAAAGGGTGTAGTTTGGCAGATCTTAGCCTTTAGCATGGTCACTTGGAGAGTGTTGGATGTACCAGACTCCAATTGTTGGAAAGCGGGTTCTGTACAAAGGGCATTTGCTTCCAGTCTCATCATTTCCTTTGTGACAACAGAGGAGGTCTTTAATCTTTTATCGTTGCTGAAGGAAGAAGTTTCATTCCAGACAAAGTCTTTGCCCGACTGAGAGCTACATAGGCGACCATATCCATATTTCTTTCCAAATGAAACAACAACTTCCTCCAAAGTTTGTCCCTGAATCTTGTGCACTGTACAAGCCCAACACAAATGTAGTGGAAACTGTTGTCATAAGCCATCATCAGATACATCAAATTTCTTGTCAGCATGATCCTGGCTCAACTGCCAATCTAATAATCTTGGGCAAACCTCCAGTGAACTGCATTATGGGAGAATAGGAAACTTCCGAAGTGCTTCTGGTGTTGCACTGTCCTTGGTAAGTATTATGTCTACAATATTTGCACCAAGTCCTGGATTAGCATTAGCTCATTATGTATATCAACTTCATAATTTGTTTAAAAAATGTGTAGTGGATCTCCTTCAAATGATTACCTGTAAAGATGGAGGAACACATTTGGTCTTTGTAATATCAACGGTCTTGCTCCAGTAAAGGTACCATTTCTTATTCTGGTTCAACAGCTCCTGGGTAAACGGCGAGATCTCCTTTTGTCCTTGCTAATCTGCCAAGGATACAAAAAGAAACTAGATCCACCAATTTC